GTCTCTCTAATGAGGATAGGAGAGGGCAGATTTGGCAGAGCAGGGGAGAATCTCAAAGTTTACGAAGGTCAGCTAGACTGAGAGAAATGCAAACAAAGCCTTCAGTACTAGGGCTGGACGGTTTCGTTCGTTAATTTCGTAATTCATTATTAATTCGTATTTAAATTAGCTTACAATCCCATATTGAGCCATGCAGGAATAGTGTGAGGAGTAAATTAGATTCGAAACAATTTTTTCAATTTATTTCGTAATTATTTCATAATTATTTCGTAATTATTTTCGCGTGTCTGGTGCAAGTTTTATAGTTGTTGTTTGTTTTATCACACCAACAGTCAACAACAGAGGGAGAGGGAAGCTTCAGAAGTTCCCCCTGTCCCATTTGGAGGTTTTTTTAGCATATTGCGCAATCGCGTCCACCATTAACGAATCGATTCGAAATTAACGAAATTTCGTAAATAACGAAATTTTGAAATCTCAAAATTTTCGGAAGTATTTAGAATTTGGAAACGCTAGCGCCCCCTGGAAACGAATCGAGTTTAGAAACAAATTTTTCCGTGGTTACCCAGCCTATTTAAGTACCTCTCGCCTGGATGCATCTTCAGACCAGGCATCATTCCAGATTCAAGCATCATCCTTGGCAGTTCTCCTGATTCCAGTGGCCTTATTCCTAAGAAGCTTCCTAGTTGCTTCAAAGTACGGTTAGTGGATTGCTAACAGGTTCCAGGATTTAGCAGTGTTACTGTGGGTTTTTGATCTTGTTCATGGACATTTCTTGTTGCTGATTTTTACTGTGGCTTTTTACCTTTGCATATTTCCTCTATTTTTGTACTCATCTTTCTTCAATAAAAAAGGATTATTTTTCCTGAAGTCAAGTGTGGTGGATTGTTGTCTGAGGGTCCACTTTCCTGCTCTGGGTTGCAATACAGTAACTACAACTCCCAAATGTCAAGGTCTATTTCCCTTAAACTCCATCTGTGTTCATATTTGGGCATATTGAGTATTCGTGCCAAGTTTGGTCCAGATCCATCATTGTTTGAGTCCACAGTGCTTTCTAGATGTAGGTCAATGCCCACCAAACCCTTCTAGTGTTTTCTGTTGGTCAGGGGAGTCCTATGTGCCAAGTTTGGTTCACTTCCATCGTTGGTGGAGTTCAAAATGCTCTTTGATTATAGGTGAACTATAAATTCCAGCAACTACAACTCCGAAATGACAAAATGGTAATTTTTTGAGGGTGATGGTCACTCCTTGTGTTGTGAGACATTTTGTTGCCAAATCTGATGTGATTTCATTCATTGGTTCTTTTGTTTTGAAGGTACTCATTACTCACAGAGCATTTTTATATATATAGATATTAGGGCTGGGCGGTTTCGTTTCATAATTTCGTAATTCGTCAAAAATTCGTTATTTTTTTTATAACAAAGTGATAACGAACCATTCAGGGGCAACTAAAAAACGAAACGAATTTTTCCAATTCGTTTCGTAATTGATTCGTTATTGATTCGTTATTATTTCCGCATGTCTGGTGCAAGTTTTAGGGTTGCTGTTTGTTTTCTCAGTGAAAAAAAATATAATTATCACACCAACAGTCAACAACAGAGGGAGAGGGAAGCTTCAGAAGTTTTTTTTAGCGTATAGCGCGATTGCGGGCGCCATTAACGAATCGATTCGTAATCGATTCGTAATCGATCCGTAATTGTTTCGTAATTGTTTTGTGATTTCCGAAATTTCGTAAATATCGAACNAAAAAATATAATTATCACACCAACAGTCAACAACAGAGGGAGAGGGAAGCTTCAGAAGTTTTTTTAGCGTATAGCGCGATTGCGGCCGCCATTAACGAATCGATTCGTAATCTATTCGTAATTGTTTCGTAATTGTTTTGTGATTTCCGAAATTTCGTAAATATCGAACTTTTTTAAAGAAAAATTTCGGAATTCTTTTAAATATCGAAACGCAAAAACCCCCAAAAAACGAATCGAATTTAGAAACAAATTTTTCCATGGTTGGACAGTTCTAATAGATATCCTAAAAGTGAGCCTTGATTTTGCCACTGGTAGCATTTCACTCTACCTCATTGAGTATTATGGGACTTGTGTATTGGTTTGTGATGCTGTTATTTGCTATATTTCAAAGCTTTATCTCTGTATTAATGTGTTCTAAAGGACAGAATGTAAACAGATGTTGCTTCCGGAGAGATTCCCCTCCACATTCTGTGTTCATGCTATTTAGGTCCCTGAATAACACTCAAGTAGCTTACTATTGATTTGCTATCAAGTACTGTCCAAGTTGTTTCCGTTCAACCGAACAGCTTTGAAAACTCAGCTTATAATGATGTCTGCTTAAATGGTTGTTTTGATTCTGTGGTTTTCGCACAGGTCATTTACTCCTCTTTGTTGTTATGCAAGAATTCAAAACGATCTTGACAGATTAGAGAGATGATGGGCCAAAACTAACAAAATGAAGTTCAACAGGAGGAAATGCAAGGGACTCCACTTAGGCAGGGAAAAAAATGAAATGCAAAGATACAGAATTGTTGTGACACAGCTGGAATCAGAGAGTGTTTCTCATGGGGATGATTTATTTTATTTTTATTTCTCGTGTCAGGGCAGCCAGTCAATTATATTACATTTCTAACAGAACAAAGCAAACAAACAGAGAAATACAAAATGTGTGAGTTTGGTAGTTGATTAAATGTCCTTTGACCAGTATCTGGCCACTTTGAGTGCCTCTGGTATTGCTGCAAGAAGGTCCTCCATGGTGCATGTGGCAGGGCTCAGGTGGCATTGCAGCAGGTGGTCTGTAGTTTGCTCTTCTCCGCACTCGCATGTCGTGGATTCCACTTTGTAGCTCCATTTCTTGAGGTTGGCTCTGCATCTCGTGGTACCAGAGCGCAGTCTGTTCAATGCCTTCCAAGTCGCCCAGTCCTCTGTGTGCCCAGGGGGGAGTCTCTCATTTGGTATCAGCCACTGGTTGAGGTTCTGGGTGTGAGCCTGCCACTTTTGAACTCTCGCATGCTGAGGTGTTCCAGCGAGTGTCTCTGTAGATCTTAGAAAACTATTTCTAGATTTAAGTCGTTGACATGCTGGCTGATACCCAAACAGGGGATGAGCTGGAGATGTCTCTGCCTTGGTCCTTTCACTATTGGCTGCTACTTCCCGGCGGATGTCAGGTGGTGCAATACCGGCTAAGCAGTGTAATTTCTCCGGTGGTGTAGGGCGCAGACACCCGTGATAATGCGGCATGTCTCATTAAGAGCCACATCCACTGTTTTAGTGTGGTGAGATGTGTTCCACACTGGGCATGCATACTCAGCAGCAGAGTAGCACAGCGCAAGGGCAGATGTCTTCACTGTATCTGGTTGGGATGATGGGACTCAGGTTCACAGTCTGGTTTAAGATGTCCCTGCTATAGACAGTATGGAAGGAACTAGCGGAAGTCATCTCGGAACCATTGGCAACCATCTTTGAGAGTTCTTGGAGAATGGGAGAAGTTCCAGCAGATTGGAGGAGGGCCAATGTGGTCCCAATCTTCAAGAAGGGAAAAAAGGATGACCCAAACAATGACCAATGTCCGGTCAGCCTCACGTCGATACCAGGCAAGATTCTGGAAAAGATTGTTAAGGAAGTGGTCTGCAAACACTTAGAAGCAAATGCGGTCATCGCTAAGAGTCAACATGGATTTATCAAAAACAAGTCATGCCAGACTCATCTGATCTCTTTTTTCGATAGAGTTACAAGCTGGGTAGATGCGGGGAATGCCATGGATGGAGCGTGTCTGGATTTCAGGAAGGCCTTCTTGGACAAGGTCCCCCATGACCTTCTGGCAAGGACACTAGGCCAAGGTGGGCGAGGCAAAACTACGGTGTGGTGGATCTGGAATTGGTTAAATGGACAAACCCAGGGGGTGATTCTCCCCAAGGCTTCCTCTTCATCCTGGAAAGAAGGGACGAGTGGAGTGCCACAAGCAGGGTTCCGTCCTGGGCCCGGTCCTGTTCAACATCTTCATTCATGACTTAGATGAAGGGCTAGAAGGCAGGATCATCAAGTTTGCAGACGACACCAAATTGGGAGGGAGAGCCAATACTCCAGAGGACAGGAGCAGGATTCAAAACGATCTTGACAGATTAGAGAGATAGGGCCAAAACTAACAAAATGAAGTTCAGCAGGGACAAATGCAAGAGACTCCACTTAGGCAGGAAAAAACGAAATGCAAAGAGACAGAATGGGAGACAATGAGGCCTGGCTCGAGAACAGTACGTGTGAAAAAGATCATGGCGTCCTCGTGGGGAGGAAGGTGAACATGAGCCAACAATGTGATGTGGCGGCAAAAAAAGCCAATGGGATGTTGGCCTGCATCAAGAGGAGCCTAGTGTCCAGATCTAGGGAAGTCATGCTCCCCATGCTCTATTCTGCTTTGGTTAGACCACACCTGGAATATTGTGTCCAATTCTGGGCACCACAATTGAAGGGAGATGTTGACAACTTAGAATGTGTCCAGAGGAGGGCGACTAAAATGATCAAGGGTCTGGAGAACAAACCCTATAAGGAGCGGCTTAAAGAGCTGGGCATGTTTAGCCTGAAGAAGAGAAGGATGAGAGGAGACGTGATAGCCATATATAAATATGTGAGAGGAAGCCACAGGGAGGAGGAGGGAGCAAGCTTGTTTTCTGCTTCCTTGGAGACTAGGACGCGGAACAATGGCTTCAAACTACAAGAGAGGAGATTCCATCTGAACATGAGAAAGAACTTCCTGACTGTGAGAGCTGTTCAGTAGTGGAACTCTCTGCCTCGGAGTGTGGTGAAGGCTCCTTCATTGAAGGCTTTGAAACAGAGGCTGGATGGCCCTCTGTCAGGGGTGCTTTGAATGCAATATTCCTGCTTCTTGGCAGAATGGGGTTGGACTGGATGACAGCCCAGGAGGTCTCTTCCAACTCTTTGATTCTAGGATTCTAAGAATTTCCTGCTCGTTTACCTCTACTTTGTTCTTTATCCCCTTTCCAGGGCCGCCATGTGAAGACGGGGCAGCTCGCAGCCATCAAAGTTATGAACGTGACCGAGGTGAGCCAAGCAGACCGATTTGCCAGATATTATTGTATTCCAAATTTGTCTTATAATGAAAGAAGAAGTTGCTAACTTCTTGCAGCAAGCATATACAGTACCATAGAATCAGAAAGTAAAGGCAAAGATTTCCCCTTGGCATTAAGTCTAGATGTGCCCAACTCTGGGGGGGGGGGGGTGTGTGTGCTCATCTCTATTTCTAAGCCAAAGAGCCGGTGTTGTCCATAGACACCTCCTAGGTCATGTGGCCGGCATGACTGCACAGAGCACTATTATCTTCCCTATTGATCTACTCACATTTGCCTGTTTTCGAACTGTTAGCTTAGCAGAAGCTGGTGCTAACAGAGGGAGCTCACCCCACTCCCCAGATTTGAATCGCTGACCTTTTGGTCAGCAAGTTCAGCAGCAGTTTAACCCGCTGCACCTCCTGGACTTTAATAATTCTTGACTCTATGTACATTCCAGTAAGTGTTGTGCCTATTTCTAACATAGACACGTCCTACAAATGGACTATGGACATGCTTGATGGAGTCTCTAATGACAGAATTTGCCACCAGGCTGTTATTGAAACAGAAATAGATTTTAATTAATTAATCTGATTTATTGTTTTAAATGTATGTAATTATTGGATTTTATTATGTACTAGCCGTCCCCTGCCACACGTTGCTGTGGCCCACTCTGGTGATCTTGGGGGTTGTGTGTGGGAGGTTTGCCCCAATTCTATCGTTGGTGGGATTCAGAATGCTCTGTGGTTGTAGGTGAACTATAAATCCCAGCAACTACAACTCCCAAATGTCAAGATTCTATTTTCCCCAAATTCCACCAGTGTTCACATTTGGGCATATTGAGTATTCGTGTAGAATTTGATCCTGATCCACCACTGTTTGAGTCCACAGTGATCTCAGGGTGTAGGTGAACTACAACTCCAAAACCAAAGGACACTGCCCACCAAACCCTTCCAGTATTTTCTGTTGGTCATGGGAGAACTGTGTGCCAAGTTTGGTTCAATTCCATCGTTGATGGGGTTCAGAATGCTCTTTGATTGTAGGTGAACTATAAATCCCAGCAACTACAACTCCCAAATGTCAAGACTCTATTGTCCCCAAACTCCACCAGTGTTCACATTTGGGCATATTGAATATTTGTGTAGAGTTTGGTCCAGATCCATCATTGTTTGAGTCCACAGTGCTCTCTGGATGTAGGTGAACTACAACTCCAAAACTCAAGGTCAATGCCCACCAAACCCTTCTAGTGTTTTCTGTCATGGGAATCCTGTGTGCCAAGACTGGTTCAATTCCATTGTTTGTGGAGTTCAGAATGTTCTTTGATTGTTGGTGAACTATAAATACCAGGAACTACAGCTCCCAAATAACAAACTCAATTTTTTGAGTGATGGTCACTCCTTGGGTTAGTAGGTACTGTGGCCAACCTTCCCTCCCTCTTTCTCTCTCTCCTTCCTTCCTTCTCTCCCTCTTTCTTCCGTTCCTTCCTTTTTTCCTTTCCTTCCCTCTTTCCTCCCTCCCCCTTTTCTTTTCTTTTCCTTCTTTCTCTCCCTTCTTCCTTCTCTCCCTCTTTCCTTCCTTTGCTCTTCGCTTCCATCCCTCTTTCCTGCTTTCTTTCCCTCCCTCCCTCTTTCTCTCCTTCCTTTTCTCCCTCTTTCCTTCGTTCCTTCCTTTTTTCCTTTCCTTCTCTTTCCTCCCTCCCTTCCCCCCTTTCTTTTCTTTTCCTTCTCTCTCCCTCTTTCCTTCCCTTGCTCTTCGCTTCCATTCCTCCTTCTCTCTTTCCTGCTTTCCTTCCCTCCCTCTTTCTCTCCTTCCTTTTCTCCCTCTTTCCTTCATTCCTTCCTTTTTTCCTTTCCTTCTCTTTCCTCCCTCCCTTCCCCCCTTTCTTTTCTTTTCCTTCTTCCTCTCCCTCTTTCCTTCCCTTGCTCTTCGCTTCCATTCCTCCTTCTCTCTTTCCTGCTTTCTTTCCCTCCCTCTTTCTCTCCTTCCTTTTCTCCCTCTTTCCTTCGTTCCTTCCTTTTTTCCTTTCCTTCTCTTTCCTCCCTCCCTTCCCCCCTTTCTTTTCTTTTCCTTCTTCCTCTCCCTCTTTCCTTCCCTTGCTCTTCGCTTCCATTCCTCCTTCTCTCTTTCCTGCTTTCTTTCCCTCCCTCTTTCTCTCCTTCCTTTTCTCCCTCTTTCCTTCGTTCCTTCCTCTTTTCCTTTCCTTCTCTCTTTCCTCCCTCCCTCCCCCTTTTCTTTTCTTTTCCTTCTTTCTCTCCTTTCTTCCTTCTCTCCCTCTTTCCTTCGCTTGCTCTTCACTTCCATCCCTCCTCCTCTCTTTCCTGCTTTCTTTCCCTCCCTCTTTCTCTGTCTCCTTTCTTCCCTCCTGCTTCTCTTCCTTCCCTTCTTGACCTCTTGCCTGGGCACTGGAAGGAAGGATCCTCGGAGCCAGTGTTCTCTTTTAAAATTTAAGGTCTTACTGTTTTTTGGGAGGAATTTTTTTGAGTGCAGGACATAGATTGCTCTGAATGCTATGTTGTGTCCAAATTTGGTGCCAATTCCCTCAGTGGTTGTTGAGTTCTGTTAATATCGCAAGGCCGAACAGGGTATAGGGTTACAACCTGTGTTAGACGGGGTCGCACTCCCCCTGAAGACGCAGGTTCGCAGTTTGGGTGTGATCCTGGACTCATCGCTGAGCCTGGAACCCCAGGTTTCGGCGGTGACCAGGGGAGCTTTCGCACAATTAAAGCTTGTGCGCCAACTGCGACCGTACCTTGGGAAGTCTGACTTAGCCACGGTAGTCCACGCTCTGGTTACATCCCGCCTTGATTACTGCAACGCTCTCTACGTGGGGTTGCCTTTGAAGACAGCCCGGAAGCTCCAACTAGTCCAACGGGCGGCAGCCATGATACTAACAGGAGCGGAGCGCAGGGAGCATACAACTCCTCTGCTGCACCAGCTCCACTGGCTGCCGATTTGCTACCGGGCTCAATTCAAAGTGCTGGCGTTGGCCTTTAAAGCCCTAAACGGTTCTGGCCCAACCTACCTATCCGAACGTATCTCGGCCTATCAGCCCACCAGGACCCTAAGATCTTCTGGAGAGTCCCTGCTCTCTATCCCGCCGGCTTCACAAGTGCGGTTGGCGGGAACGAGAGACAGAGCCTTTTCTGTGGTGGCCCCTCGGCTTTGGAACACCCTCCCTTTAGAGGTACGATCAGCCTCTACGCTGATGGTGTTTCGGAAGAGACTGAAAACATGGTTGTTCAAACAAGCATTTGGCTAATACGTTGCAACCGAATGTTGATGACTAAAGGATTGACAATCACGGACGACGAATTTGGATTGGGATTTTAGTTACGAGATGCATCGGATTATTATTGGTGGCCCAATAATTTGTATTGTAATTGTGTTTCATGTTTTTAATATGGTATTGTTTTTAATTGTTGTAAACCGCAATGAGTCGCCGACTTAGGCTGAGATATTAGCGGTATACAAGCGTATAAATAAATAATAATAAATAAATAAATATTGCCTGTTCTACCAGTTTCTAGCTAAATGGTTGCCATTCTCATTGAAACCTCTCTAGAAGCCGCCCTGAGTCGCCCCCCTCCCCGGGGGGGGGGGGGGTTGAGAAGGGCGGGGTATAAATGTTGAAATACATAAATAAATAAATAAATAAATAAATAAATAACCCTGAATGGAAAAAATGTTTCTTTAGGGAAGGGGGGGGGGACTGCAACTCTCAGAATCCTGAAGTCTATGGCACGCCCAAGTCTAGTTCTGCCCTAAAGGGAAATCCAATGCAGTTCCCATTTGCTGGGCTGGTTGCATAAGCTGAGCGTATTGCCTCACCAGTTTCCCAACCAGGAGTCCAAGTGAAGAACAAATGCAATTGGGGGGGAAACCGGAGAGACCTCTGTTCACATACTGCTTCCCACCACCGCCTGACCTGGTGTAACACCACTTTGTTTTAAACTGGTCCTGTTTGGATTGGGAAATCAGACATGAAGTCACAAAGGAACCATGTCTCAGTGGCAGAGTGCATGGTTCACATGCAGAAAGTTCCCCTTTCTGTCTAGTTGGAAAGGATTTCAGGTTGCAGAGCTGGGAAAGGCCCCCAAGCACATGGAGAATCGCTTCCAGTTGGGATATTGGGTTAGATCTGCATTTCCTAAGGTGTGGTCTTCCAACTGTTTTGCACTTCAGCTCCCAGAACTCCTGACTCTTGTCCAAATTGGTTGAGGCTTCTGGGAATTGAAGTCCAAATTAACCTGAAGGACACTCCAGTGGACAGGAGCAAGATTCAAAACGATCTTGACAGATTAGAGAGATGACTGGCCAAAACTAACAAAATGAAGTTCAACAGGGACAAATGCAAGAGACTCCACTTAGGCAGGAAAACCTAAATGCAAAGAGACAGAATGGATGCTAAAGACCTTGCAAACATTACAACCCTCATTATTCTATAGCATCGAGTCATGATAGTGATGTCAAAGTGCATTAATTCCAAAGTGTAGATGTCTCTTTTTCCATATAGTCCAGTGGCTCCCAAATGTTTGTCATAGAATCCTAGAATCCAAGAGTTGGAAAAGACCTCCTGGGCCATCATCCAGTCCAACCCCATTCTGCCAAGAAGCAGGAATATTGCATTCAAATCACCCCTGACAGATGGCCATCCAGCCTCTGTTTCAAAGCTTCCAAAGAAGGAGCCTCCACCACACTCCGGGGCAGAGAGTTCCACTGCTGAACAGCTCTCACAGTCAGGAAGTTATAGAATCATAGAATCAAAGAGTTGGAAGAGACCTCCTGGGCCATCCCAGTCCAACCCCATTCTGACAAGAAGCAGGAATATTGCATTCAAATCACCCCTGACAGATGGCCATCCAGCCTCTGTTTAAAAGCTTCCAAAGAAGGAGCCTCCACCACACTCCGGGGCAGAGAGTTCCACTGCTGAACGGCTCTCACAGTCAGGAAGTTCTTCCTCATGTTCAGATGGAATCTCCTCTCTTTTAGTTTGAA